TGATAATAATAAAAAATAAAAGGAGGGGAAAAAAACGCGTTTGGGTGGAACCACGTGACTTGCGGCACACTCTCCTACCTCCGCGCGTAGGTTTTGGTTTCGAGCAGTTGCGCTTCTTGGCTCCATTCAAAATATACGCAACTCTGTAGCAAAATATTAATTGGGTAATCTTTTGACACCATATTAAATCGCCTGGCAAAAAATGAAAAAAAAAAAAAAATTGGGGGATGTCGTTGTCCCTGGGATGCTGAACCGCATCTTGATTCCACAAAGCACGGCGGCAAAAGCGTGCAACAGAATGCTACAAACATTGAAACATCAATCATACAACGATATATCAAACAAATGACCGTTTTCTTTTTGTTTTTTCTTTTTTTTAAGGAGGCGCATTTGACAGATAAATTTTCACGTCTCGTTTCTCGACGAAGAGTCGAGAAGAATATCTCGCGTATTCTCCGCCTCGCCGCCTTGAGGGGCGAAACGAAGAGAGGAGGAAACGAGATATCTTGACGTCACGCGCCTCGTCGGCCTCGTTCAATCTCGACCTTTTTTTTTTTTTAATTTGACCTTCGATTTGAGATACCGCCTTACGAGTAGTGTTGTAGGGATTGTAGGCGTCCCGCCTACAGCTCCCGCATTGTTTTTTGAAATCCAAATTTCGGTTCACCATCCCTTAAAGGCACTGGAGATTATAATAATCATTCCCAATAATGGTTCTAATTGTACAAACGTTTGGTTGTGAGAAAAAAAAAAAAAAAAACTGGAAATAGCTTATTCATGCTAACTGCTGTGCTCTGTACTTCAGCAATTCGCGACTCCAGCGACCTGTAGGGGGCGCCACCACCAAACAAACATGGCGGCTGAGTCCAGGTCGCGTTGGCTCGGCCGGGCCGCCTGAACAGGTGGCGCGTTCTATTTAACCGATTTTCTTATGTTTAATGCCCAATTTTATAGGTATTTGAACTGAGGCGGTTAAGTGTAGCCGGTGCACATAAACTTGCAAAGCATAGTTTTCTTTTCCCGGCGTTCTTTTGTTCTTTTCATATCAAACTTTCGTTTCGGAGATTTCGTTCAAAACCGAAACTATGGGCTCCGGAGAGACGGTAATATACTAATCAGTTTTGACCATCTAAAGAAAGCGGCGATGACTACAGAGTTGTTCCACCGAGAGTAATTTTCAGCAAACTCGCATGCCTCGACCATGCGACTTATCTGTCTGCGAAATCAAGCTTTTGTGCGTATCCGCCTTTAAGAAATAGCTCCAGTCGTCTGCTCGGTCAACAACACAGGCTGCAGGAAAATTACGAAAATTAAGCAAGCGCTTCTTGAGCCAAAGAGCATGTTAACCCGCTGGCGCCCCACTAAGTAGCTGGTACTCGTATTTCAATTCAGGTTTTAGTAGCAATCGAGAATTGTCATTTTGACGAGCGGGTTATGTATTATATTATGTACAATGGTCCCACTAAAACGATATTAGTATATTCTTTGGGTTGAAATATGAGCTTAGTTCACTACCTATTAGGCGAACTGCTGAACAAAAGTATATTTGACAGACAGAGAGGCTTAAACTTAGCCAAATGGTTCTAGCCGGCAGCACGGAGACAAACTGAACAGTCTTCAATGGAGATTCACGCAGAACCTCTCTGCATTGAAGTTTGCTTCGAATCCTGAACGGAGAAAATGAGTATTTTTTGTGGCCGGTCAACCTGAGGAATGCAGACGTATATTGCTGCTGGCTTCGATGGGGGTATATTATAAATATTGGAGGCGCGATAGATCAAAATGCCGTGACAGCTTCTAACGTTGCGAGACTCGTCCCCCACATTTTGAAAACAAATAATTTCCCTTGTTCATCATTTGCAGCGAGCAGGTTTTCCTGAATCAAGTAATTGCGAAATCAGCCAAACTCTTTCAGTGTGGCCCAGAGGCTTTTTCGGCGAAAAACAGCCAAGATGAATAGCCAACGCACCGACCGGCGTGGGTGGCTCAAACTTGAAGCTAACCGAATACAACCAAACTAAAAAAAAGCAGCTATCGAACCTTCCCATTCACTTGACTGCAACATTGGTGTTCCCTCCAGTGAAATACCTCGTCTGTCGTCCTCAGTCCACTGTTCTACATCTTTATAAAGCAACCACTCATCAGTTACCAACTAGTCGTCACTTTTAATGTGGTTTGAGACAGACAAGAAATCAAAACGTTTTTCCGTGATTCCCCCCCATCCAAGAAATCGAAAGCATGCACGCGACCGTGTGCTTCGAACGGGCTTTCAAACACGTGATGGAAGGAAACAATCTACCGAGGGCTTCACCACACTAATGAACTCTCAGGCAAACTTAAGAAATTTTCGGACCAAATATACATTGTCCGCCACCGCGCCGACAACACGTGTCTGCGAAAGCCACCGGAGACGCGGAGGGGCGCGGAGCGACCTGGACCGGCGGGTTCCCGGTTTTCCCGCTTGGTGGCGTCCGTTTTGCTGGAGTCGCGAATACCAAATGGGTCTTCAGAACTACTTTGGGCTTTTCAGTTGCACGCTATATGGATAGTGTTGCATCAAAAGAAATGCACTATTGTACAGGGATCTCAAACGTGCGGCCCGCGACTCTCTGAGACGCGGTCCGCAAGCATCCCGCTGCTGCGAGCCCCCGTCCCTACGCCTGTAGCGACAAAATGCGCCACAAGTTTTATTATCGTCGATTCATTTCCGCTCGAAAAAGAGTTCTGTTCATACATTTTGCACTATTGTTTTTTTTACATAGTATTGCTTTGTCTAAATATTTGCTTCTCAAACCCTTTTCCTGTAAATCAACTGGGATGGCGATACCACTACTAGGCTAAAAGTGTGAGCTTTTTGCTCAAAGGGGCAACTTGGCTGCACACACTCTTGCTCAGCAGGAGCAGCTGCCGAAAATACAGCTCTAAGCTCAGGCTTCTAGCTGTCCGACTTCACCTTTGTAATTAAGGTATCGTATAATGATGGTCTGAAGACCGTCAGGAAAGTAAAAACTGCCGTATGAAGACATTTTTTCTATTGCCTGTTGAGCCAAGTAAATTTTACGACAGGGCAAGGATGGTACGTGTGCTTGGTCTCCTATTGAAAACCGACAGTACTGTGGCAGTGTTTAATATCTTATAACATCAGGAGTGGGCCTAAAGTGAAAGCAGAATGGGTATATGCAAAATAAAGCTGAAGATTGCAAGACGGTGAGCTTACAAAAAGCAGAATAAAGCGGAAGTTCCCTCCTATAGAAAATCTCAGGGGTGTCGCTGAGACAGTCGGCGCTGCTTTGCAACGTGAAGCAGCAATGCTGTTTGTTTATTTTTTGTCCCATAAAACCAACATGTTGACCTCCTCCCTCTCGTTGGCCCTGGTACTTTCGAAGGTGGGCTATCTGGCCCCCCACACTCAAATGAGTTTGAAACCCCTGCTTATAGTAGAAAGAAAGACTGCCAAATAATTATTTCCAATATTTAATTTCACCAACGCTACCAAATATCTTTTTACAACAAAGGCAGAATGGGGATATCTTTTGTATTAAAACTTGTTCACTGAGAAGAAATGCATTATGGTATTTGTTTCTATACGGTTCATTAGTGCATGCTGCCAAGAGCTTCAATCATACCGGACAAACTCTCAAATCAGTAATGTCATTTGATTCTAGTATGATCTTTAAGGTGCCAAAACTGCAACAAATGTGCAGATGCATGCATATTCAACACAGATATTCATGCAAGGATCACTTGCACTTCTATCTAAATTCACCTTTAGAGAGAATGGCTCAGAAGAGAATTTGCAAAACTGACTGGAGCTGTACAAAAAAAGGTACTTAAACCTTGTATAATGAAAAAGAAAAAGAAATTAACTACAGCAGGTTTTTTTTTTTTTTTTAAGATATCTTGTTAGAGAAGAGCAGAAAGCCTTCACTTCTGCTCTGCACATTTCAAATGCCGTGATTATTCACGAGCATATGGATACAATTGTGTTTGCATTTTGGATGTTCCACCATGAGTACAGTAACCACGCCAATTAATGATGATGCCTCACTGAAGTACATCCAAATATCATGCAGAGAAGGTAATCCTCAATGATAATCAATGTGATGCTCCTAAGACTGCTTTCTGTGCATGAAAACATTGTAATCATTCTGTATTCAAGGGCTGTTTGCACTTCAACATAGCATTGACGAGAACCAAGTAGGGAAGAGAATGCTTGTGCTCCTTGACTGATACTCGAGTAAAGTACTGTCGGCTTGTGCTCAGTGATGCATCAAACAATGATAGGCACTTCACTTTTTGGTACATTTTCTGGCACTCCCTTTTCTTATCCATTGCTTGGTACATTGTACATTTCGATAAAGTTTTGAAACTTGACACACCACTGCTTGTTGTTTATATAATTGTGAGAAAAGTTTTAATTCTGATGACTGACGTCTTTTTTTTTCTTTCTTTCTCTCTCTCTCTCGTTGCTTTACATTGTTTGAGTACTGGGCTGTACAGAGGCACAGACGCGACAACTGCCAATACATGGAATGTGGTGTTTCCCAGCACAGCGTGCTGAGAAGAGAGGTGGGGCAACGACGACCGACAAGGTCTATTTGTCAACTTTGACATCATTTGGGTCCGTTGCAGCCTCGGTGGCTTCAGAAAGCTGCCTCTGCTTTTTGCGCATGTTCCAGTGGAGGCACTCAGCCAGGCTGTCGAACCAGTCCGATATCTGGTCTTGGTCACAGATGGAAGGCACCGGGTAGATAGATGTGGTCACCTTGAGGCTGCAATGAGAGGATGCAAGCTCTTTAAGCTCCATCGAGATTGTCTGCTTTGCTCTTGGATTGTTTTAAAAACGGTCAGCCTTAAAAGCTAAGGAAATTCTTGTCTGTTTGCATTTGTTTTCTCTTAAATGTGCTCTAACTAAATAGGCTTGTTTTAAAGACCACTGTACAACATCGGTTCTCCACAGGAAACACTAATCCTCTTAGTGTTACACATTATGGAAATACACAGCTCAGTAAATGTACACAAAGAAAAAATACAGCCAAGCCAAGACAGCACACAGCTGTATGTTGTCATGTTTGTGCCTTTTCTTTGTCCACGTTTAGTGAGCTGTTTATCTCAGTTACGTACAACATGGTGAAAGGTGCAAGATATGAGAAAGGCTGGACAGAAGCGCTGAAGGACAGGGGCACTTTGTTCCTGTCCTTTGGCTCTTCTATTCAGTCATGAACCATTTAGCACTTATTGATATGAGAAAGGCACGGTTGGGTAAAGTACAGGGTGTCACAAAAGAAAATTTACAGGGTTTATATCTCCACAAAAATAAACTAGGCATCGCCCAACGCTCATTGTCCGCTCGAAGGAAGCTCGAGAGGTCACAACCAGATGCCAAAGTTTCAGCCCAGAGCTCTGTTTCAGCCCTAACCGTTATCTTATTCAGAAGTTGTGCGTTTTTCTGAAATTTTCAATGGGAAAATGGCAGCCGACGGAGCTCTCCAACACATGGAGCTCTATGGCGCCAGTTACTAAAAACGGGCAAAAATGGACCCCATTTTCCCATTGAAACTTTCAGGAATTCGCGTTTAACTTTTGAATCAGATAAGTCAGTGCTGAAACTTTGGCATCTGGTTGGGACCTTTAGCACTACATTTGGGCGGAGAATGAGCATTCGGTGGTGCGTAGTTTATTTCTGCGATGAAGAAAACGGCGTAATTTTTTTAGGGGACACGCTCTATAGGGATTAGGGATGCCGGGAACTTTTTTCGAACCGAAGTTTCGATGATCGAATCAAGCGGTTCGAAAGGTTTGAAAGTTTCGAATTTTCGAACTTTTTATATCGAGAAAGTTGACGGAAGTCGAATTTTCGAACTTATTAAACTAAGAAGTTCGACGCTTTTCGAAATTTCGACCTTATTACGCTGCAAAATTCGATGCTTGTCGAACTCTCGATCTTGATAGACTAAAAATTCGATGATTTTCGAACTTTCGACCTTCTTGCACTAAAAAGTTCGAAGATTTTCGAACTTTGTACGTTAAGAAATTCGATAATTTTCGAACTTATTAATCTAAAGAAATCGAAAATTGTCGAACTTTTGATTCCTGAAAAGTCAAAAGTTCGATGAACTTCGAACTTTTAGGGTAAAAGTTCGAAGTTCGTCGAACTTTTTTCGTCGAACTTTTTTCGTCTAACTTTTAGAGTAAAAGGTCGAAGTTCGTCGAACTTCGAAAGACCGGCGGGCGGTTTCATTTGGATTCAACAGTGAGGTACATTCGTAATTTTTTTTTTCGCATTTTTGCATGCGGTGCCGCATTCCTTGCGAAAGACAATGCCGTTTATTTCAATCATCTGGCGTGCTTGGTTTTAAAGAAATAGATTCTCGAAGGAGCGAGGTAGGACGACGGGTTTTTGACAATTGTCGTTTGTGCCATATTTGAAGCGTGCTATTCGCGTCTCCAGCTCGACGCTCGCCCTCCCGTGGCGGAAATGGGAAGTGCTCTAGTGAGGGTCCCCCGATTCTCCTGCTCAGCGGGCACGGCGGAACTGCTCGCGATCATGGTTCGCGAAATGACATTTCCGAATGCAAACAACACTCTTCATTGTCCCAACGTAGTGCTAAGCCGGTATGGGGTTGTACCTTGTTAGAGTTTAAGTATCGCGCTATAGAAGCAAGCGCTGTGCGTTTGTGCTAGAGTTGCGTGCCCCACGTTGTGTGTGCGCCTCATCGCCATGCGCCATCCAAGACCGCAATTTTGGACTCCGCGCACGCGCAGTGTGGAACACGCAAGGCTAACGTAAACTCACAGCGCTTCCGTTCGCTCGAAAACTGACTGCTGTTTCACCGACTTCCAATGCCAACGAAACGTGCTGCAGTGAGCAGACGTGCAAGCAGGTAAGCGTTCCTTCGAACTGGAAAGGCTGAGATTGGCAAAACGACAGAGCGTAAAAATGAAAGTAACTAAATGTTATAAAAAAAAAAAATAATAATAATAATAATTAAAAGAATGTTGTTTTTTTTTTCTTTATTTTTTTTGTTTTTTTTACTTTTGGGCATTTGGGTTTGGAAGGTTATAGGAACCGTGCGCATCTAATTCAAGCCCCGACCAGGGCGCCCCTAGCGGCAAACGGGTCCATCGTGTCGGGGAGCTTGTGCCAGTCGCTGCGTTGGTTGTGCGTTGTAGTGGATTACCGTAATTTCTGAGATGGCTATTCCGCACCAAGGAAGTCGCAACAATTGCTGCGTGGTCGGCTGCAACAGTACGTCGAAGATCGCACACGGCACGAAGTACTACATCGTCCCTTCGAAGCCGTACGACCGTACGAGGCGGAGTACTGCGCTACCTGCAGGTGCGACTTGTGCGTCCATACAGGTTAGTGGCGTTTCTTACCTTTCTGTTCGCGCTTTGTTTAAGCTGCTGACGAATAATACAATTAACTTTTTTTCTATTCTAGCGACGATGGAACAGCATCGACACCGACGGCAAACTCTAAAGTATGCGGCAAATACTTCACCGGAATCGAGAAGCGGAGTGCGGTCGCCCACCTAAGCCTACACTTGGATGTTTCCATCAGCCTACAGGAAGATAGTAGTGGGAATCGCCGAACGGCGCGAAAAAAATCGCCCAGTTATTGTCAAGCTGATTCAGAAATAAACGTACATAATTACCACGGTCCACTCAACGCCAACTACATTTTTTGCGGGCACGCTTAATTTTGTTAGCGGAGATACGGCGCTCAGTGACATCCACTTGTCGGTCGAAACGGACCTCCTTCACGTCGTACACGCGGCCAGATTCACGAAGGAGTTTTCCCTTCTTTATATTGGTACCACGGAAGAAGCTTTCTAGATTCGTAACCGCCTTAAACCCCGTCGTAATCACCCCGGGAACACTGTCCGCTGTGCTGCTCATCGCCATTGCTTCCCTCCGATGATTCTGCACCGGCTACCGAAGAAGTTTTCCGGATTCGTAATCGCCCTCTGTCCTCTGTGGTGTTCGTTGCTATAACTTCCCGATGATTCTGCGCCGACGGCACCGGCTACCGAAGGAACTTTCCGAATTCGTAACTGCCTTAAATTCCTTCGTAATCACGACGGGGACACTGTCTGCCGTGCTGTTCGTCGCCATTGCTCCCCGATGCTCCTGCGGCGTCTACCGCTAGGTCGCGGCGAACAATAGGCGACCGCCGCGACACGGCCGGCATGCTCGCTTCCTATATTGGCGGCGACTTTGGACGTTTTGCCCATTGTTATAAGTCGCGACTTTGATAGCAAAATATACTTTACCCACAATCAATGTAATTTTATATGGATTTTTCACATTAGCTAAAATGCTTTCATTGATTTTAGACTTTTTTATTTTATTACTTGGTAATTAAAAATGCGGCAATTGCCACCGATGATGATTAGCACACTTTTGACTGTCATATTTGTTCGCGCGTTTGAAATTAGATCATAAGCAACAACTTATACTAGAGCTCGAAAAATTACGTATTAAAATATCTGAATTTTAATATATTAATATTAATACAAATCGAGGCAACGTATGCCCCCAATTAACGCCAAGATCACAAAAATACGCCATTCAACCATAATAGTCTTTCCAGAAATGTATAACTTTTTGTTTTTCTTTTTAGCATATGAAAAACTGACATCTTTATCAAGATAGAGAAACAGTTAAGCACTGGATGTAATATAAAGCCCTATGCGTCACGCGTTGCTATAAAATACACACACACTTCAGCTGTCTGACTCGGATACCGCCTTTGTGTTGTTCCGGTGAGAACAGCGTTTATTAATTTATACGTTTTGTGGACATATTGTAAAAATTGAAATTATTCTCTTATTCTTGTGCTGGGAATAATGTTAAACCAATTAATTATTTAAACACCCAAAAACCCATTAAAAGGCCAGCAGTTCATTATTTCCCATGACAACTATTTGAGCGAGAAAAGGCAGCGAGAACGCACAAATATCAGGACAGATTTTTTTAACGACTACAACAACTACAAATATCAGTCTGGATCGAACATGTATGTCACAAAATAGTTTCCGCGAACAACTTCTTTAACTAAATAATTACGATGAGAGACACATCTTGAGTTAAGAATCCGATATCAAGATCTATATAAAGAAAAATAAATCCAAAATAGAGGTTAGTTTTGGTTTTGCTCCGGGATTAAAACGCGCATCCTTGCGTAAATGTTACGCTAAACACCGTTTTTGTTCTCAGGATAAAGAGGTGACCTGCGCACATAACACCCTAGCTTCCTCGTATTACCAGAAATAATTTGTGTCGCTCAGTGAGGCCATCACACTAGACAGGCTCAACAGCCCCCCCGGCACGCATCTCCGACCCTCACACTGATCTCTATGACAATTGCTGGATCGCGCTTCCCCGCTTGTTCGCTGCAGCGCAAGTGAAGCCACCGGACTTCACTCGCTTGGGATACGATTTGCCGTATTTGCTAGCCTTTGCTGCGGTTTTCCAGCGTGCTGTAGACACGTTTTCTACTCGTTCGTCGTCATTCGCCGAAGAAGTTTTTTGAAGACTCTGTGTATTGCTGAGACTAGCCGTTGTGAACACGTGGAAAATTTTACGAAAGTGCAGTGTCGCAGGAAAAAGGCACAACGCGTCGAAAGGAAGGGCTGGCGGCGTGTTCAAAGCTTCCTTGGCACGCCGAAGTGCCGTGTCTCTGTGCCTTCGCACGCTTGGATACCGACCAAGAACCGACGCCGTGTGTATGTATTTAGCGAGTGTAATGTGCGTGAAGCTGTTCGTG